GAGTCTTATTTCCTGATATTTGTTATTCAAGTTTTTTTTATTAAGTTTTCCAAATTTTTACATAAAAACAAAATACCCAAATAACCCTCCCCCCTTACAGCACAGGCTAGCTCAAAACCACTCGCAACCACAATTCATAATAATTTCAAAACATGCTATCCAACAACTTTTATATCTTTTTACCAATAAAAAACAAAAATTCATTTCAGGTTTCAAAATATGAGTATTTTTTCCCTTCATTTTAGCAATTAATAATTCATAAGATGCAATCTCTGTCATCGTTATTATCCAGTCTCTGTAACCAGGTGCCTCAAAACTTTTCCATTTACGCAGTATGACTCTAGCTGCTGAAATAAAACCTGTAAGAGCCAGGGCCCCTGCCGTCGTAGATGTGTTCGGTACACACGACAAGTCTCCTAGTAAACAAAGTCGAGCAGTTTCCGGGAGCTGTATACCCAACCACTCTTGCATTGTATTCAACATTTTTTTCCCAAAAAGGTTGAACAACATAGCATGACCACATAGAATGAATAAAAGTACCTTCCTGCCTTTTACATTTCCAGCATAAATTATTCTTCATTAAACCCATTTTATAAAGACGAACCGGTGTAAAATAATATCTATGGATTATCTTATAATGTGTCAGCTTTCCTCGTGCTTCCCTGGTAAACCATCCCATATTGGACCATATCCTTTGCCATGAATCTCTATCCTAACTTATGCTTAAATCCCTCTGCCAAACATGCCATAAGCCATCATAATTTCCATATAATACTGAATATTCTGAAACTATAATATTGGCTAACACCAGCGCAACTCTACCACAGACTCTGTGCCTGAAGGAGTTCTGCCGTGTGGTGGAGTTGCTAATGCTAATGGTTAGCTAGTTGAGATGTTCTCTGCTGTTTCCTGGATGCTAAAATAACAACAGCCTTCCCCGTCGTGAGTCAAGATGAGTGAGTCCATGAATGTGTAGTGACAGTGTGATGTAGCTCTGTCAGGTTTTTCAAATCCTAGACTTCCATCATCTATTTTCTATCGGAAGCTATTTCAGGAAACAGGTGTAGGAGATTATTTTCATGTTCAGCCTGCACGAAAAACTCAAGAGTAACCAATTACAATCAGAAATAATCATTAAAACATAAATTTTCAGTGAGTCACACCTTTAAAGCCATTTTCATAAAGAGATCTTCCAAAGGGGTGATGGGTGAGAATGTAACCATCCGCAGCTTTGATATAAACATCCTCGGTTTAATCTTGTAGTAAAATATCAGAACCGTCAGTTAGTAAAACAAAGCAAATAGCTTCATTCATTTTTTTATTTTTTATTTTTTTGCAACTTGCATCAAAAGCTTTTAGTTTTCTTCTTTAATATTAGGAACAAATTAAAGCAGCAATCCAGAGTTTTCAGCTTTTTAGGAATTATGTGTGATTTTTCAGAAATCTGTAAAAATGATAGTTTTAACCTGTACTGTGATATAATATATATATATAATATATATGTGATAGGCAAGACATCATTTTCTTTTGCTGAGGCCGCTGCCCATCCCGTAGAGTTGCATGTAACTTGAGCTGCGCGCCACTAAGCATTAGGCAGTAGCATTAGGCACGTGCTCATGTACAGATGTCAGTTACAGAGTGTGCAGTTGATGACCTTTGCTGTCCTTAATATTTTTTTATATTGCAGCCATTTGCTAAAATCAATAAAATTATTTTTTTCTTCATTAATGTACATGCAGCACCCTGTATTGACAGAAAAACACAGAATTTTAGATTTTTCTGCAGGTAATAAAATGAAAAACTGAAATATCTCATGGTCCTAAGTATTCAGCCATCATAGCAGCCCTTCAACAGTCAGGGCTAAATGGCAGAGTGGCCCGTTGGGAGCCTCTCCTCAGTGAAAGACACATGAAGCACCACATGGAGTTTGCTAAAAGACACCCGAAGGACCCCGAGATGGTGAGAAATATGATTCTCTGGTCTGATGAGACCAAGATAGAACTTTTTGGCCTTGATTCTAAGCGGTATGTGTAGAGAAAACTAGGCACTGCTCATGACTTGTCCCCACAGTGAAGCACGGCAGTGGCAGCATCATGCTGTAGGGGTGTTTTTCAGCTACAGGGACAGGACGACTAGTTGCAATCGAGGGAACGATGAATGCGGCCAAGTACAGGGATATCCTGGACAATAACCTTCTCCAGAGTTCTCAGGACCTCAGACTGGGCCGAAGGTTTACCTTCCAACATGACAATGACCCTATAAGCACACAGCTAAAATAACGAAGGAGGGGCTTCACGGCAACTCTGTGACTGTTCTTGAATGGCCCAGCCAGAGCCCTGACTCAAACCCAATCGAGCATCTGTGGAGAGGCCTAAAAATGGCCGTTCACCAACGTTCACCATCCAACCTGACAGAACTGGAGAGGATCTGTATGGAGGTATGGCAGAGGATCCCCAAATCCAGGTGTACGTCTTTACCAAGAAGACTCATCGCTCTATTAGCTCTAAATGGTGCTTCTGCTAAATACTGACCAAAGGGTCTGAATACTTTAGTTCATGTGATATTTCAGTTTTCCTTTCATCTGCGTACATTTCTCAAATTCTGTGTCTTTCTGTCAATACGGGGTGCTGTGTGTGCATTAATGAGAAAAAAAAAAGATTAAATAGACTTTATAAAATGGCTGCAATATAACAAGAGTGAAAAATTGACAGGTCTGAATAATTTACCCATTATATATATATATAGATAGATAGATAGATAGATAGATAGATAGATAGATAGATAGATAGATAGATAGATAGATGGATAGATAGATAGATAGATAGATAGATAGATAGATAGATAGATAGATAGATAGATAGATAGATAGATAGATAGATAGATAGATAGATAGATAGATAGATAGATAGATAGATAGATAGATGGATAGACAGATAGATAGATAGATAGATAGATAGATAGATAGATAGATAGATAGATAGATAGATAGATAGATAGATAGATAGATAGATAGATAGATAGATGTAGTTTGGTAATACATAACTTTGTTCACAAAACAGTACATTTCCCCACTACAGTGAAGTAAAATGGAGAGCTGCGGTACCATCGGTCTGTCATGATTTGAACAAAGCATCAAACAAATATTTCATTAGGATTGATGAAAATCATTTAAACATGACACATGGCCTGATATTATAAGTCATTTAACTCAGCTGTAGGTCTGATTTATGACAGAAATTTTGCAGATAATGAATTATTAGACCAAGAGAAGTGAACCAGAGCTTCATAAAGGGCGTTTCCACACTTGTGTTCCATTGATAGCAGATCCAGGCCTTCCCCCACCCCATTATGGTTTGTTTGTGCAGGTGTGAACACACATCAACCTTTTAACTTCAGAGCACTTAGTGTGAACAAGTGAGCCGACACAACGAACACATGCATCCTGCAAGGTTTGAGCCAAAACCCTTTCTTAGCCAAGTTTGTGTTGCATTCTAGGACCTAGTTGAAAAATGAACTGAGGGCTCAAAAAGACACATGGCCTCTCTGATTTTTTAGCAGATGACTGGATATATCAGCTCCAACTCGTAAAACACCAAAAAGTTCAAATTGTTTATAAACGGCTCCGGTAGAGAGGGTTGGATCATTTTGTACGTAAGTTAGCCTCGCCCTCAGACAATCTGACTAATACTCAGACTGAACATTCTCACCGCGCTTATAGTTACGCATCATTTCATTTGCATTTTTGCCAGTATGTAAACAATCCAAACCACAAGAAAAAGCTACAAATAAACAAAACTATGCACCGATTCAAGTCAAAAGAACATAGATGTGAAAATGTCCAACGCTTATGGTCTTAAACCCAAACATTGTACAAAGGGAATGGTGTCAATGCACATGTTTATTGACTGCGTATGTAACACGTACATTTCATTAAAAGTGGAGTATGAGATGCTTTTGTAGAGCATTTTTACCAAATTGATCAAAATGCTGCTCATGAGCTTTGGGTAGTGACCGAAAGAATGAGATTGTGGATACAAGCGGCCAAAATGAATTTTCCCAACAGGGTGGCTCGGCTCTCCCGTAGAGAGAGGGTGAGAAGCTTGGTCATCTGGTAGGGGCTCGGAGTAGACCCGCTGCTCCTCCACATCGAGAGGAGACAGTTGAGGTGGCTTGGGCATCTGGTCAGGATGCCTCCTTGGTGAGGTTTTCCGGGCACATCCAAATGGGAAGAGACCTAAGGAAAGACCCAGGACACGCTGGAGGGATTATGTATCTCGGCTGACCAGGGGACGCCTTGGGGATCCCCCGGAGGAGCTGTCCCAAATGGCTGGGGAGAGGAGAGTCTGGACCTCCTTGCTTAGGCTGCTGCCCAAATGACCCGACTCTGGATAAGTGGTCAAAAATGGATGGATGATTAGAATGCACTGCATACCAATGGCTACTTACTTAAACACACACACACACACACACACACACACACACACACACACACACACACACACACACACACACACACACACACACACACACACACACACACACACACACACACACACACACACACACACACACACACACGCCAGCGACAGGCCAAAAACACAAGACCCTCAGGAACAAGCGTTGGGTTTCATTTGATGGAACTTGTTTTTCTGTGACCACATTAAACTCTTTTCCCCACCTGTCATAGTCCCTAAAATGTGAAAGACGAAACCAAATCTCCTGAAATGATAAGAAATAAGCTGATTATTTAAATACAGCAGCAACGCTTGGACGAGCGAGCATTTCAGCTTTAAACTCTGTGATGACTTTTGGTTTCATTAGAGGAATCCTGCAGCTTCAGATGAGACAGAAAACGTCTCTCACGACGTTGTGACACGTTCTCCACCACGGAGAAAGAAACACTCAACCGATGAACTAGCGTCGTGATGACGATGATGAATCTTGTTTACGGAGTCTGGCTGTGAGAAGAACGTGTTGTTTTCTTTCTTTCTCGCATGTAGGTGGTCCTGGACATGACATTTGGAGGTGGTGGTCATACCAGAGCAATACTGAAGACGGCTCCCGAAGTCACAGTCCTGGCCTTGGACCGAGATCCCACGGCGTTTTCTCTGGCCCAGCACTTAGCCAAGGAGCACCCGTAAGTGATTTATTCAGAAAGATCAACCTGAGCCGAGTTGGAGCATAAAGCAGCACACTGTCTAGACAAATGTTTACGCTACAACAGGACTAATATTTCACTGTGTGTTTTTATTGTCACAGCTGACAGCTTGACAGTTTTAAGAAGTGTTAGGTTTTGTGGTCATTCTTTTCCTAAAGCATACTGTGGGTTTCATAAACATCATCATTGCGGCTTTCCCTCACTTTCTCACTTGTTTCCTGAGCCTGATCCAGCAGAGCTTGCCAGGAAACAGCCCCTGAGTTTCACTGTCCAATCAAATCCATTCTTCCTTCTTAACTTAAAGATTCCCCCCTCCCACGCAAAGATGGTGGGCCCAGCATGTCATTTGTCAGAGTGAGGGCCCACGCCTGCTGTGTGAGGGAGATGCTGCCTCCCACGAAGGATCCATAAGTTATGGCGAGGAGAAAGGAGAAGGGGGGTTGTTAAAAGTGAAGAGAGAAAGAAAAAAAAACCAGATAGAAACTGAAAACATAAGAGTGAGTGGAGAGGGAGACACGAGGGCACAACGCCAGGGTGAGCGGGAGTGTGTGTGTGTGTGCATGAGAAAGTCGCGGGTGGATGAAAATGAGATGTTCCTAAGACCGTGGCGTGGGAAGGAATCCTTTTACGTAGATTCTGGGGAAACCTCTCTCAAGAGAATCTGCCAGCGAAATGTGCCGGTGAGCGGGGAATGACAATTAAGGGAGAGAGAGAGAGACTAAGAACACTGCATTCTGTCAGCAGCAATATACCCCCGCTGTAAACTCCTCCACGCCTACTCGTGATGCAAGTCGAGATAGGCTGGAGAAATCCAGCAATTAGCCAATATTATTGGGATCCTGAGTAAAAGACCTTGCCTGCCTACGTTGTGCATCCCACACATCAGGGCTAGAGGATTTTCTCCATCCTCGGTACTCCCGCGCCTTGAGCAAAGTGCACCCTTATTGCAAACTGTTGAATGTTGGTGTCAGCCTGAACCGAGTCTCGCTAAACCGGGAGGGTAATTCATGGCCAAACACTTCAGAAAACAACATGAAGTTATGAAAATTCAGCCACGTCTTTAACAGGATTTTCCTCCTGCGTGTTGAGCCTCGACGCTCTGCATCATTCTTCTTGTTGCTATGACTTCCCCGGGCTCCAGGCACTGCGATTGTTGCACCCACCATAAACATTATAAATCTGAAACGGCACCGATCGTTACCGAGCAAACACTGCATCTCCGCTTTTATATAAGGTCACACAGATTAATGGGATATTTTTCATTTATTGCATCCATTATGCATTTAGTTGATTTAAAACCAGGCTTCGTGTTGGCCGTCTGTGAAAACTTTCATTCTTACTGACCAATGAGTGATGTACACATAGGGATGCTTTGCTCGGATTGTTAACTATTTTAAAATGAGACTTGCTGTGAAAATATTTTTTTAAACCCTCATTCAGGAATCCCTGGGTTTTAAACTAACTCTTTAAAACAAATCCCACCTTCTCATCTTCACATTGTTCCAGATTTTCCCTTAGAATCATGCTGCATTCACTTACCATTGGACAAATGGCATCTAAACCAATTTGCCTAATTTTTTTGCACGTTTCCTGCAAGTTCTCATCAGAAGTTTGATATTTCTCTTGAAGCCATACAGGTAATGGCTAATAATCAGCTATATAAATGGTAAATAGCCTGTATTTGTATAGTGCCTTGTTAGCATTCTACAACCCCCTAATGCGTCATTCACCCATTCACACACACATTCACACGCTAGTGGGGATAAGCTACAATGTAGTCACAGCTGCTATGGGGCGCACTGACAGAGGCGAGGCCTGCCAGGCCTCATCGGCTTCACCGGTCCCTCCGACTACCAACAGCGGGCCAAGCAGGTATAGTGCCTTGCCCAGGGACATAACAGCAGCATTGTCTGGGCGGAGCTGTAATCGAACCTGAAACCTTCCATTTAATGGGCAACCTGCTCTACCTCCTGAGCTACTGCTGCTTCTATATATCTCTTTTGGTCCGCTCTTTTCTGACTTAGAATAAACTGAGCTGACATACCTGGTGCTGCAGTTTGGTTTCAGCGCATTTCCTGCATGTTTTAGATCATAAAATAGCTGATTTGTTTAATTTAGTGACGGATCACTCCCGTAGACATAGTGATGTAAGAAAGTATTGATATGGCAATATATCGTGATATATTTTTCCTGCTATATTATATCGCATATATATATATATATATATATATATATATATATATATATATATATATATATATATATATATATATATATATATATATATATATATATATATTAGCTTACAGGAATACCACACTCCTGGTTTTTTAAGATGGTGACTTCACATTTCTGTTTATAAATGTGCTTCCGTAGCCGACAGACAATTTAAATTCCGTCTAAAAAAATCAGCCAATATTGTCTGGCTGTATTGTGATACCTATTGCCAGAATTTCACCAATACACATCCCTAGTAGACACTGTGGGAGACTGGTAAGACATTTAAGTTGTTAGAGGAAGGTGTTAAAAAAAATCGGAACATACTGCAAGGAGATAAGTTTTGCTTTTGATTCTACAAGCGAACACTAGAGGGAGCTCAAAGCAAGCCAAAACTAGCTAATTCCCCTTTAATAATGCACTAAGTAACGTTAAAATCAATGTAATATTATATCGTGATCAAACTAGGGATTTAAACCCCTAATGGCGTGTATTCGATATAGTGCCTTATAAGGTTCTACAACCCCCAAGGCACTTTACAACACAAACAGTTATTCACTCTTGCACACACACACATTCACACGCTGGTGATGCCCTAGGGCTTCACTTACTGAACCGAGGCTGTCGAGCACTGGCACCACTGGCCCCATTGACCACCACCAGCAGCAGACAAGGTGGGTTAAATGTCTTGCCCAAGGACACAATGACCATGACTGGCAGTGCTCGAACCTTCAACCGTCCGGTTATGGGTTGGGCCACCATCGCCCTTAACCATGGTTTATGCTTGACGCATTTACTTTCCGCGTGGTGAAGCGGCTCGCGGATGGAACGCGCTTCACAACTCGCAGCGTTTATGGTTCATGCGGCTCGTCTCTGCGGTGAGCCAATATTCTCCCAAACTGTAGGGGGCAGCATGGAGCTCTACGGCATGCATCCAACACTACACCATAGTAGAAGTAAAAATTACTGTTTACAACATGGCATTCCAGCATTTATAACAGTGTCCTCGTCTTTTCCGACAGTGTGAGCTATTTCTCTCCAAGAATTATTAACAACATGTTGATCACGGTGATCTCTGAGAGCTGAATCATACAAATGTCTGTATTTACTAACCTCTGCCATACTAGTTCTTGCCAGTCCGCCATGTTTGTCCGCGTCCAACCGTCCGCATGGTTAGAAAATTTCCTAGGTGCGAGGTGCGGAAATTTTGGGCCGTGCGGAGGCGCGGTGGAGGGGCGTGGTTGTTAAAATGGCGCAATTTCGCCGCGCGGAGCCGTGCGGACCTCGCGGACGCGTCAAGCATAAACCAAACTTTAGCCTTCAAATGACTCTCTACTTATGTGTTCCCAGTTATCTGAATGCTGTAATAAGTTAACCTCATTCTTCAGAGGTTAACGTGAGAACCTCGATCTTCCTGCTGAGCCAGACTTTTTTTGAAGCGACTCAATTTCCTTATTTTCAAAGTCGATTCATTAGTTTGTAGAAATTTGTAAGACATTACTGAATAAGTTCTGGAGCTGCTGTCCTGAAAAGACTTTAAATTGGTTGGTTAACCAGAAGTTTTCACACAGCTGCCTTTATAAGCAATTAGTCATCCGTGGAAGTGAATCATCCTCAACCCACAAAACATCCAGACACTGTCCGTCTGAATCACACGTGGATTTCTGGAAACAGACCCATTTGTTTGATTAAGCTGTTGCTGCACAACTAAAAATGTATCTAAAATCATCTGTTGGGATTTTTGTCTTTACTAAAATAAATCAGACACCAAAACGTTTTATGTAGTAGTTGTTTGACATGTTTACAGAGAAAAGCCTAGAAAATGTTTGCATTTGATTTAGCTCAGTGTCAATTTTCATTTTTAAGAAGCCAAATATGTTATTGCACTTTTTAAAAATGAAGAAGCAGCCTGTAAATACTGCAGATCACTGTTAGATGTCCTTTGATTACAAGAGCACAGCTTTTCTCTTGCTTCAATAATAATACAAAGTCCCAGAAAGATCTGTAATAGTCTTGAAGGCCAATTGAAGCTGATTCAGATATAAAAAAAAAAGTTGTATTTTTGAAAGACTAGACTCTGTGTTTTTATCCTTCACTCACTGTAGATATTTTCATCACTTCTCCCCTGCTGAAAGCAATCAATCAGCATCTTGTCTGAGGCTTCAGTGACGCAGGTAAAAGAACTGAGGAGGTCAACACAAGGGAATATTTCAGGCTTGATTTGTGACGAGGCAGCATGTGAAGGATCCAGATGTCCTCTTTGATCGTTGAAGAAATCGTAAAGAGATTGTTTGAAGATTTAGAGTTAATTATTTAAAATTGTGCTTTGTGTAAATCAACTGCTCTTCTCAACATTAGGACCTGCTCTAGCTTGAATTTTTCTCCATCCTGTGTCTTATTGTCTTAAGCTTTCATTGATTTCATTCAAATTTGAGCTGAATTCACACTGAGTGTTGCGCTAGTCCACCAAGGAGCCGTTATAATCCCAACAAGTTACTCTGGTATCAATGTTGTCTGTGCTGCAACTAAGAATAACTCAGATCTCTTAAGCAATTATGGGTCTACACTTGAACTTCAGCACTACACCGCTGAAACTTGTCCTCTTTAATAATATACGACGTTACATAAGGCATTTATATCTCAAACACTGTGTCTAAGCCACATAAAGAAGTTAATAATTTAGAATTGTTATGTAACCATTTGGCATATTTTTGAAGCCGTATAAAACATCTTGTGTAGTGTGACTAAGGCATGTTCATCAC